GTATATGTGAAAGGTGCCATCTGTGACTGAAATAAGGCTGCTGATGTCTAAAGAAGCAGGAAAACATTGCTGTTCCACGGCATGGTAGTCACAGATTTATTTAAAAATATGTAAGAAAACAAACTTACAATAGTAACAAAAATGAAGAAACACATAGGTGCTGTAGCATTCAGCCACTCAAGGCATTATATACAGATTATGGCAAAGGTTGATTTTCAATGGTTGGGTTTCAATGCCCAGAATGATGGCAGAATGATTTCACCACTGGGTCCCTGAACCAGGCCCTTAATCCCCAATTAATCGAGACTGTCAGATCCTGCTCTTTCAAAAAATGTGTGTAACTTTGGATAAAACCATCTGCTAAATAGGTTACATGTACTGTAAATGACTTCTGGGTTATTGTTATTTCTTATGCTGTTTACAACAAATCCACAGCTCCCACCTATAAAGACGGAATAAATGCTACCTGGAACTTCACCTTGATTCAAAAAAATATGATTTGGTCTGATGCTCAGAACTACTGCAGACACAGTTACACAGACCTGGCTACTGTGAGGAATAAAAAAGATAATGACTTGATTCGTCCAATGGTTACAAGTCAGGCATGGATTGGCCTGTTCCAGGACACATGGAAATGGTCAGACCTGTCAAACTCCTCATTCCGTAACTGGAAAAATGGCCAAAATGCTAATAAGAATAACACATGTGCTTTAGCACAGGTCACCTGGCCTGGGACATGGGATATGACACCATGTGATGAAAAGCATCCATTCATATGCTATGATGGTGAGTAATGCAACTTTTCTGTGAGCAGTGGCTGACTCTCACTTTTATGTAACAACTTTAATTTATATTACTAAAAAAATACATAAGATATTTAGTGTTATAAGTACAAATAACACTGCACAGTTGCATCAGAAAGTTATTTTGTCTTCACTGTTTTGTGAATTTCACTCCCTCTACCCTTCTGGTAATAAATTCCTTTCTCCAAGACCTCCAAATGTCACATGACTTTCTCCTGAATCCACTTTCTGACAGTCATCTTACCTTCTGCCCCAGATAACCTGATCTTGGTAAATAGTAACATGACCTGGAATGAAGCCCTGAATTACTGCAGAACGTACCATTCGGACCTGGTGTCTGTCCACAATGAGGAGATCCAGTACTGGGTCAGTAGGATGGCTGAGAAGGCCTCCACTGATCATGTCTGGCTGGGGCTGCGCTTCTCCTGCTCCCTGAACTTCTGGTTCTGGGTCAGTGCAGAGAA